AGGGGGGGGAAAAACATTCCGGGGGGGGGGGGGGGGGAGAGAAGGAACTAAATAGATGTTCCTATCTCAGAATTAATTTTCTCCTTTGAAGGAAAGGAAGAGACCCTGAGCTAAAACAGAAGACAAACAGGAGGTGAAATAACAGTAAAAAAAGAAGTTATGAGTACTAGGGTCATATGAGCCTATCATGGATGAGAAGCAAGAGAGTGAAATAAATTGTGTGGCAGGACCTTGTAGAATAGTGTCTCTTTTAGTCACCTTGTGTTACAGAAACAGAAATTGAGCATAAGCAAAAGAAAAAAGAGGCCTAGCACTGGGAACAGAGTTTAAAACCCACACTGGGAAGATGTGAATATGAAGATTTTGACATCAGTGGATAACATTTTAATTAATTAGAATTAAAGGATCTATTTACATTATTTCCCATAAACTGGCCAGCTTTATTTCCAGTCTTCCAAATTCTGCTCCTTCTGACACATTCTTCTTTCCCTTTCCCAATGACTGTTCCCAGCACTGTCAACCTCAAGTATTCATACCTTAGCCATTGGCCCCCAAATCATGAGGATGGCTTAAAATGATGTGATTTAAAAATAAATGTTGACATTTCTTTTTCATCATTTTTATGTTTTTAATTATTTTTCTTCAAGAGAAACGTAAGTTCATTTATGAAACTTTTCATGGAAACATAAAATAATTTACCAGTTCAAGAGGGAATTTGTTTTACTCAAATAAACTGAAATTCCAGTACTTTGTCTGAATTGGGCAAGGCAGGGACTTGAATGTAGGTCTCACAGTGAGTGCTCAGGGGTGCTCATCTTCCTCACTTGATCTGATGCAGAATAGGCCTTTTTTTTTTTTTTTTTTTAATCTACGCATTTTTCTAATGCTGGTGTTTTCTGACCAGCTTTAACTGCCTGCCACTATGGCAATGACACACACATGAATCCAATGAGCAGATTTTTGACAGTTATACTAATTTTATAAAAGTATTCTATGTATTTTATTAGTATTATATAAGTGCATCTCAGGCAAATCCTATCTGTTTGTCATACTGTTTATGAGGCAGCTAAAATTACTGTTGTACAAGAATTGGGTTTTCTCATTTGCAGTAAATGCCAAGACTTCAAATTTTGTATAAATCTGAATTTCCATGAAAGTAAAGGATTTCAAAATTCTTGTGTAATGAAGTTTTGAACAAAATGCTGATTTTGTTTGGCTAGCTGAGATTTTTTATTTTTACGTATTTTATTTTTAGATGCAAGTAAAATGCATTTTAAACGTTATTTACATACCAGAATCAAAGTATTCTGTTCTGAAAAGGTCAAAATCAAATATTTCAGTTCTACTGATTTTTTTCCCTGCAACAATTGAACAAATTAATATGTGTCTGTAGGAAATACTCGTTTCAATAAAATGGCATTTGTGAATGACAAATTTTGTGTCTGAACATTTTTACCAGCTCTGTTCAGAATAACATTCATGTACCTAAGAAACCTGTTCCCATATACTTGCACACAACTCTTATGAACTTTAATTAGAAGTGCACATATGTTTCTGGAAACAGAATGTGGTCATTAATCTTTAAAGTCAGAGACAGGATTCAAAGAGAAAAAAGGGGAAGAAAATCCAGAAAGTGAACACTCTGCAACCATCCAATTAGCTGAACTAGACAATAAAGCATATGAGGGAGGAGGTAACACTGGGGTGAGTACTGCAGGCTATTCTCAGTCAGACCTGCCAGTAAATTGCTTCCTAATCTAGCTTTTCCTTTCACCTTCTACTTAGTCCTTTTAATCTTTACACCATTTTCTTGCTTCTCAACTTTGTTTGATTCATAAAAAGTGGTGATAACACCGCTCCTGCTAGAGAGAAGTGGTGAAACTCAGCTCCTGGGAGCTCTGTGCACTTTCTGAATTGATTAGTGGTAAATGGACTAACAGTATGTAGTTCTCTGATGATTCTGTTAAATTATATCTTTTTTAATGGGATGAGGAAGTTGATGGACTTTTAACATCCTCTGGTTCCCTCCCTGTCAATATAAAGGGTAAAAATGAGACATTTTTATAAATAGGGACTGGATCCAGAAGCTGCTACAATCAAGGGATATTGAAGCACTGTTTCAGACTACAAGAAAAAAAGTTAGCGAAAGAGAAATCCCTTGTTAAAGGAATACCTGAGAGAGACAAAAACCTTTTCTTCTGCTTCATTTCTACTTTGAGATGTCAACTGTCAAGCTGTGCAGGATTAATATACAAGAACAAGAAAGATTACCTGGAGCCATTAAAAAAGTATTGGATGCATCTGATTTGAATTTGACAGCTCCGGTAATGCTAAAACAAGGGAATTATGGAGAGTATATACTCCATTGATTTTGGAAACCACAACAGTTAGCTACTGTTTAATATGATAAAAACTAAAATGTGAAGTGAAGCACATAGTAACAACCTTGTTATGACTGTGTTGTGTTTTGCAGACAACACAGCTGGAATTGAAACCAGGAGAAGTGGTTACAGCCGTAGGCAGCAGGAGTTGTATTTCCTCCCAGTTGTGATAGAAGACAGTAGCTATCCTGTACAGAGCAGCACAAACACAATGACTATCCGGGTTTGCAGATGTGATTCTGATGGTACCATTCTATCCTGCAATGTTGAAGCAATCTTCCTACCAGTAGGCCTCAGCACTGGGGCTTTGATTGCAATCTTGCTATGTATTGTTATACTCCTAGGTTAGTTTCCATAATGTAACAAAGTACAACTCTTTGATTCTACTTGTGAATTAATTTGTGTCACTACCAGTTTCACTTATTGTTTAACAAAGACTATTGAAAATGTATGACTGTTCACAAAGGGAGCTTTTATAGAAAAATATTCCAAAGCACTGACCATTAATTTGAATCTGAGCACCCAATCTGCTACATTCCAAATATTTCTTCTGGAGTAGGGGAAAATAGCTTACAGTGGAGTTTGAAATGCAAATTTTGCTCTGAAATAGTTTTGATTAAATACCTTTCATGTAAGAACTGATCTCCATATACTTAAAATGATTTAAGCCAAAAAAGTCCACCTATCATCATCATCACCTACCTGGTAGGAACCTTTTCATAATTATTTATACCAATTTCTGAGGGATTAAAAAGAAAGACTTATGAAATAAGACAGGAAAATGTAATTATAATGTATACTGTGGCTGACAGCTATTTTATAGTTAAACAACAGTAACGTTTACCTAGAAAATGATTATGTATCAGGATACTGCTGTTTTGGTCCAGCTTCCCTTTATGTATTGCTCAACCTAAACCATTTCCATAAGGAGTCCATGCTAGTACAGCTCTGCCCAAAATATTGCAATGTTGGACAGTAATCAAATATTTTTACAATTTATGTGAGAACACTGTGGAGTAAGCTGCACAGAAAGATTCTAGTAGATTCTGGCCTATGCTTAAAACAGCACTCCTGAGTATCAAATGCATAATTTTCAGACCATTTCTATACTCTTTATGCAGATCTACTGACTGATATCAAATACCTAAACATGTAGAGTTTAGTGCAGCCGCTGGGTCAACTGTTTAGGAACATATCTACATACTGGGTGCATCTCCACGTGCTAGTAAGGTGACACAATAAACTCTGGAGCAGTTTGCACTGGAATTAACTACTCCTGGGTGCAGTGTATACATGTGCACCTGGGACCATAGCAATTAGAGCCAGATGGAGCAGCCCCAGGCTGGCAGGTGGTATGGAGGAGGCAACCTCATGTAGCAATGGGTGGCAGAAGTGCTAGCAGGAGCTGGGTGACTGGCCCACAGCTTGCTGTGCTGACTGTACTTATTTATGCTGAGTAGTTACCATCCCTTTGAGCATTTGATTGCAGTTAATAACTGCACAGTAATTTAGTGTGCAGTAAATTTAAGGCAGCATAAATGTATGTGTAGACATGCCCAGTAAGTAGGCAACATTTGACATTTGGAAATGGGGTTGTTCCAAATCAGAATGAAAATTAGAAAATTTTAAATTCCTATGGAATAAAATTTTAAAAAAATATTTTGAGAAATTAGTGTTTCAGTATGATTTTCATAAATGAAATATAATACAGGTTTCCTTTGCCAACCATGATTTTGCCAACCATGGATTTGCGTATCCATGGTTAATATTCTGTATACCATTTTGTCTAGCATGGTATACAATTTTGAGTAACCATGGTTTTCTATAGCCATGCACCAGCCCACCAACCCCCTGGCCCTCCTTGTGCCTCTCATTCCCCCGCCCCAGCCCCTGCTCGCAGCCCTGCTGGAGGTGCATGCAGTGGCATGGAGCTGCCCTACCCAAGATGGCAGGGAACAGCAGGCCTGCTCGCCACTGTTCCCTGCTGCCCTGCTTCCCTCCCCCACAACCTGGTATGGCAGGGAGCAGAGAAGCCATGCAGGGATCTCCTTGCCTGCCGCTGCTTGCCCCATGCTGCCATGGAGACACACATCCTGTGCCTGTTGCTGGTTTGAGGGGCATAGCCCCATGCTGCTGCCTTCAGTGCAGCTGCTGCCTTCAGTGCAGGAGGCACGGTGCCAGGGCAGCACAGGGTGAGCAGCAGTGGGTGAAGAGATCTCCACATGGCTTATCTGCTCCCTGCCACACTGGGTCATGGGGAGGGAAGCAGGGCAGCAGGGAATGGAAGTCCCAGAGGGTCCAGGTCATGGGACAGTCCAAGCCCGGCGGCTCACCCAGGGATGCAGGTGGGTGGCTCCTGTTGCCGCCAGACCTGGACCGTCCCATGACCCGGCCTGGCCAGGGACCTATCCATGGGCTTCTGACTGGCCAATTGCATGCCAGTGGAGGTGGGTGCAAAACATGCCCACCCCATCATTCAGATATGTGGGGGTGGGGAAGCACTGAGGTGTGCTGCATGGGGCCAACTGGAGCATCCCTCCTCTCCCCTTCCCTTCCCCCTCCCCCTCCCCCAGTAAGAGGTGAATTCACTGGGGGAGACACTGCAGCCATGCCTTGGCTGTTCTCCATCCCTACCCACTGGCGCATACCGCCTATAATCTAAGTAACCCTAGGGGTATGCCTATGCCCGGTTGACCAACCTGGGTATCAAAGGTAAGTAAAAGTGATTTTTATACACTATACTGTACAGTATTCGAGTCCCTAACCCCATTTTTCCCCATAAGCCTTTAGTTTTACCAACCACCATTTTGCCAATGCCAACCACAGAAACTTTTCCGAAACCCCAGCTGTGGGCAAGGGAAACCTGTATCCAGTAATTTCAACTTCAGTGACTCTCAGGTCTAGCTCTAACTCTAGGCTGTTCCCAGAATTTCAAAGTAATCCCAGTTCTTGAAGTTAAACCCCCCAAAGTCAAGAAAAACCCTTGCCATAGAATTAAAATCCAGGATGTCCTGAGAGTGCACCTGAGGCTCCTGGTGAAGTGGAAGGGAGTGAGGAGTTCCAAGAGACCATGTGTCTAAATGAAGTTCTCAGGTCTTCTAGACACCTTGCTGTAGATTTCAGGATTGAGGTCCTGAGGTCTCCCAGGCTATTAGTTATGAAGTTGAGAGTCCAGACCCTGAGAATGAACCCCAGCTATTCCCATTTTCCAGACTCAGGGAGCCTGAAACCTTTACAAATCCTCAGTTCCCACACGGGGTGGAAAAGGAAACCTAAAAGTGAAAAATAAAGGAAATAGAGAAAAACACTTAAGTCCTACACAGCTCCATTTTCTCATGAAATCAGTTATCAGCTTCTCAGTATAGCTAGTAGTAAAGGGAGCTAGGTATGTACAACAAGCAACAAATATCCTCATAGTGGTTAGAGCCTTCTTGCTTTATAAAAAAATAGAGTAAACCTCCTGAAGAAAAAGTCCTTTTGATTGTTTTTAACTGTCACCAAAAGATAGATTGTCCTGTTATCAGGGAACCAAGCTATTTCCATACTTGTCTTGACTTACACTCTTATTCTTGTTCCAGTTATTGTTGTGCTATACGTAGCATTGAGAAGGCAAAAGAAAAAAGACACCCTGATGACCTCTAAAGAAGACATCAGAGACAATGTCATCCATTATGATGATGAAGGAGGTGGAGAAGAGGACACCCAGGCTTTCGACATTGGCGCATTGAGGAATCCAAAAGTGATTGAAGATAATAAAATACGCAGGGATATAAAACCAGATACTCTATGTTTCCCACGTCAAAGACCACCAGTGGAAGATAACAGAGACATAAGAGATTTCATAAATCAAAGGCTGCAGGAAAATGATGTAGATCCCGCTGCACCCCCTTATGACTCACTGGCTACCTATGCCTATGAAGGAAATGGATCTGTAGCAGAGTCTCTCAGTTCTATAGATTCACTTACGACAGAGGCAGACCAGGATTATGACTACTTGAGTGACTGGGGACCGCGGTTTAAAGTCTTGGCAGAGATGTTTGGAGAAGAAGAAAGTTATAATCCTGATAAAGTCACCTAGGGGGAAAAACACAAAACAAAAGAAAAGTAAAAGAAAAGCAAATGAACCAGAAATTAAAAACAAAAACCAAGCTTTATAGAACAAAAATTGTTTGTTTATAAAAGACAGCAACTGTTTTCAGCAAGTTACTATATCATACTGTCAATTTTGGTTTGTTCTGCAAAGAGAGGATACAATCTGTAATATATACTTTTCTGTTGTTGTTGTTTTGTTACTTTGGAATCACACTGAGACAAACTCAGGCCTATTAGCTACAATTTACTGACATGACAACTTAGAAAGAAGATAGCTTTCTGGCATCATGGTGGAAGTGTGGTAGAGTTTTCTAAATTCCACTAAAGTGCCTATTGAAACTTTAATCATTTACAATGGTAAAGACTCTACTGGGAGGGTGTTACAGAACTGAGTGGTAATCTGGACATAAAGGACATTAACTTTATGTCAAGAAGCAATAGCAACATGCTGACTCCTAATTCTTTTAAAACAAAAGTGAAAATGACTTCCTGGAACACATCTGATGATGACAGCTCAAAGAAATTGTGTTTTTCTTTTCTTTTTTTCTCTCTGCTTTTCTTTTCTTTTAAGAATAATTGTATGCCAAGACATCACATTTTTTCTGCCCACCTTTAATGGCAAATTTGAATTTAAAAATGCTATTTTTCAGTTTTAAGATTCAAAGCCCAAAATTTTAAAAAAGTTTGATCTTGACATAATTCAATGAATATTTAAAATGTTCATTAAAGTGTTAGTTTTTTCCAGAATAAATATATATATATATGAAAATAACTATTCCTTTATATAATATAAAGGAAACTCCCCTTCACCCCCTTCATTTAAAGTGAAGGACTTAGAGTTTTTCGGAGGGTCATTGCACTTTTAGTATCAGTGTCATTTTTCACTGTAAGTATCACTAATGAAATATATGTAAATATCTTCATAGTTGTTTTCTTTGCAAATAGTTTATTTTGTAGGTACTGTAGACATGCTTAATATAGAGAGGTAGTATATTTCAGCATTTCAACAATCTCCTGATAAAACCTATACAATTGGTCACATACCTACAACTCGACATATAGACAGTATTTTGGTGCCAGTACTTGTATAGCATCAAAAGTTTCAAACGTCTTAGGGAACATTTTGAAGATGGAGTCTAATAATTGTTACCCCAACAAAATCTTCAGAGAGACATTCTAAACAGGTAATATATTATATCTATGTACACATCACATGCAAATGTGCAACTTTGGGGTACATGGGAGGAAATATCATTTTTTGTGAATTTTTCTTTCTCTGATGGACTAAACTGTGGTGTGTATCAGAAGAGTTTATGGCCCTCAAAGTGAATACAGTGTTATATTCTTTTGCTCTCAGGCCTCAGCATCACTTTATAATCTGCTTAAACTGCCTTCATGATTAACAACATTGGTTTTAGGCTTGAGTGGATTAGAGCCTTTTATTCACCACAGGTCACATTTTGTAATATTAGGCATAGTTAACGTTTATTTTAATAAAATAGAAAGACCCAGTTCTATTTTAAATTAAGGTTCCTTTTCATTGCTGTGAAACTTAATGGAGTCAAAGTATGGCTGAATTACAGAGAACAGTACTATACTGTAAATGAAAATCTTGCCCTCCCAGAACAATTTGAATGTATGGATGTATCAGAAGAGCCCTCTAGTAGAGATGCAGTGTCTGCTGGCAAAAAAGAAGTGTTGTTGCTAACATAACTACATCATCTCTGTGAACAACATAATAAAGGCCAACAAAAGTGTTCTTCTGTTAGCATAGTTGGATTTCTACCAGTGTCTTGCCAGCATAGGTTTGTCCAGCAGGCATGTGATTTTAACCACTCCAAGCCAAAATAGGTATGCCAGCAGAACTTTCTAGTGTAGACGAAGCCTAACAGAGAACTTTGTTTGAAGTCAGTGACTTGTTGCTATTTACTACAGAAACTTACTCCAGCCAAAATTCATTGTTGCAGGTGTACCATGTTCTTGGTTTTGAATATGTGATGTTTCATCCTTTTTATCAGTAGGACTTTAATTACTTCTCTTCTCTATAGCAGAATGCTGAATTAGGCATCCTATACGGCATACTCAAAGCCACCTGTGCTCGCTCCTCTGCTCTTAGTTATTACTTTAGATCCTTTATATGGATTGCGCTAGTAATGCAGTAGAGTAACTAAAAACAGAGTTTGACCTTCTGATTTTATCTAGTGTGATTGTTCCTAAGGAGGTTATAATTCCAGTTTGTGAAAAGGAACATTAGGATTCTGGAATGAATTGTCATTTATTCTGGCCAGGTCAATCTGCAGGGAAGCCTAGATGCCAAAAATAGAAGGCAGAGAAAACAGTCCTTACCAAGCCATTGCACACAATACATGTTCAAAAGTGAGTAACTGGATGCTAAATGAATACCAAATTGATTATCAAATTCATATTTTGACATTTAAGAGGTTTGTAATTGAGATGTTTCTATCATATAATTAATATCCTTCAGAAAGAGTTTTTTAAAATTAATTGGTATGTAATTATTAATGTAATTGTCTTATACAATCTTAATTAAAATCTTTTATTTGAGACACTTAATTTAAAGAGTGATCAAACCGTTTTAATTTAGCTTGTTGAGTTAGTTTTGCAAATGGATATGTGGGAACAGGGAGAAGGATGCGTTTATTGTTAGTGCATGGGTCAGGGACTGACTTAGGAAAAATAGGTTCGACTCTAGAGTCTGCTACTGCCTCCCTATATTACGTTGGCAAAGTTCTTTAAAGTCAGATTATCCAAAGTTGTTTAGATGTCTAATGATGCCTAGGAGGATTTTTAAAATAAGCTCTTATTGGCATCAGATTCCAATTGAAATCAATTGCACTATCTCCCTGCCTACTTTTTATTTAAGTCCTAACTGCCTTTGAAAAGCTGGTCCTGGCAGCATGCCTGTACTGTGACAACAATGTGTCTCAGCAAGGATGTTACTGAGTACGCCCCATCCTCCCACTCACACTGTGCAAACCAAGAAATGTAATAGTGAAGATACCTACTCTCAAGCAGATTGAAAACAGTGGTCTCTAGAGTGGCCACAGAGAACACCCTAGAGCAGCTTCACCAGTATTTTTTCAGGTTTGGAGCATGCATGCAGGACCAAGTAGGTGGGTGCATGTCTGCCTAGGGCACACTGCCTCTGCAGTACAGACATGGCCAATCCAACTTCCATTAAAGTCAATGGAAATTTTTCCACTATGTGTAGTTCAAGGTAGATTGGACCTATCTGTGCATAAATTCCACATCTTTCCTATTTTGCAGAAGTCCTAGGAAATAAATACCCTAATATATGAAGATGAGGGATATATATATATAAAGTGAGATAAATATTGGGGCAACTATTGACTTGCAATTTTGGATGTCCAACACTTCTGAAAACCAGACCTTTTTAAAATGGGTTAAGTTAGGCACCAAAAACCCATTTATCCCTGGCTAATTTTTGAAAGTTAAAGATTTGGTCTTGCACAATGATACCTGCAGGTAAATCCTGGGGCCGCTATAGAACTCCTCTGAAGTCAATGGATCTACATTCTGACACAAGTCCTCCACATATTTCAGTTCACAGATGGACAGATCCATGCTAATTGGTAGTGATTATCCAACTGCTATTCACCTAGCCATCCTATCATTTGTCATTGCTAGTGGTACTGAAAGAAACTGCTCAAGGTGCAATAGGTCATATAAGAAGAGAGAGGTGTAAAAAAATCTCAGTTGAAATAAAAATTTAAAACTGATAGGGTCAAATGATATTCAGACCTGAGACCTTTTTGTATCTTACTCTGAAGTGAGAGTTTATTAGAATGCAAGGAAAGAAACTATTGTAAAAAATTGGGAAAGTTCATAGAGTTTAGATATGTGATCAGAATATATAAGCTTATTGGAATCAAGCTTTATGAAAATTCTGCCCTGCAAAACTGAAAACCTTGACTGGGATTCTTGAAATATAGATGTGCAAGAGATAATAATTCAAGCTGCAAGAATTTGGGAACAGATGAAAATTGAGAATGTTTCATGGAGAAATATCTTTCTGAATATGATGCCTTATAGAGTCTGCTGTAAATTTTCTGTGTTACTCTGATATAAATTCAAGATTACTCTACTCAAGACAAGAGAGTTGCTCAATATTTATAACAGAGTACATAAGAGAAAACATAACCTTCTGTGCACCTAAAAAAGACTTAGGTGAAATTTAGGCACCTAACTCCCAAAGAATGATCTGACTTGACCGCACTAAATTGCCCACACTCAGGCACCTACATTTCTTAGAAGCCTCCATTTTGGTCTGAAAAGTTTCCAGGTCACCTAGACCTGAGCTACTGCACATGATCAGAAGCAATTCAGACCAGCCACCTGAATGCCTAACTCCTACCTCTGTTGCAATCCAAATGGATGAAGGAGACAGACATCTACCGAGATCCTAGGTGTGGGCAGAGCATGCCAGTCACTGTTTGAGGCTAAGAACACACCTGCAGCTCACTAAGAAATGGGGTGGGAATAGGGCCCATCTTTTGCCAAACAGCTTAATGGTAAGATCACTTTTTCAGGAAATTAGGCTAGGTACAGACATTCAAAACGCCCAAAGCGGAATTGATTTAAGTTATGTAGTTTTTTGTAAGTGGTGTAGTTTAGATTGGTAGCAAACAAAACAAACATTCACCCTTTGATTGGGGGAAGAGAAGGACAAACCTTAGACCAGGTTCTGCCATTTTTCAACTAGTCTATGTGTGGCAAACTTCTGTTCTGTTACAGGTATAGATGGGATTTGTGTGCTGAACTTCTGTTCTGTTACAGGGGTAGACCTTGTACTGATCACTTATACCAGGAAAGGTGTAATGCCTGTACCTGGCCTTAGAAAGCTGGATTCTAGGTTATAATTTATCTAATGGAATTCAGATTTACATCTCACACTTCCCAGAAGAATGCCATCAGCTATGACAAGTTGGGTGTCCCCACTTCCATGTCTTTTCTTCTGTTGAAACTGGCTTACTGGGCAGACAAAAGGGCAAGCTTCATGAAGCCAGAAGAAAAGAATACAGGTGAGAATCTGTGACCAAGTGGAGGAGAGGGAGAGAGAAAATCTTACATTCACATCTCTGCTACCAAGGTTATTTCTGCTTTGTGTGCATTTGCTTTAATAACTGTCTAATGTAAAATGGATAAAGAGTCCAGAGACCAGGAACAAGGACCCAGAACTCTCCACAACTAAACACATACCCTCATCACTGAACCAGTTGTATTCATTCTTGCCAACTTGCTGGAGAGTGTATTACATTCTTTATTAGATCTTGTTTGTTGTCCACCTTGGCCTATGGATTTTGCAGCTTTCTCTGCTAGGCCTGATTCAGCCAAAGGGATGTCCACCTTCCCATTCATAATGTGACAGTTTGGGCATTTATTAGGGAAGTATGTGGCTGCCTACAGATGTTTAGGTGTGCCACTCTAACTCGTGGTACTTTACACAAAGTGCCATGAGTTAGAGTGCCCTCTTGCCCAGCAGACATTTGCCTGTTGGGTTGGGGATGCGGGGAGGCTCCAGCCTCCTTACACTGGTCTGTCCAGCAGGTAGGGGTGCCCCAGCAGCCTCTGAGGAGCCTGATGAACCATCCTTCTCCCCATCACCCCCCAGCTCCAGGGCTGTCAGTGGGGGACCAAGGGGGAGGAGGAGGGAGCAGCAGCA